GAGAGAGAGAGAGTTGGGAGTGGGAATGCTAGCATCGGCACAGTTTCCCTGTAATAGACTTGCACAATGTCTCCTCGTCATTGTTGCACCGCATTGCCCAATCGCCATATATTTGTCATTTTTTTTTCTCGTGAATGATTTTCAGGCCGTTTGGATCTCAGTGTACACAGTGGAGAGTGAATGATTTTCCAGGCCGTTTGGATCTCAGTGTACACAGTGGAGAGTTGTAACGTGTCACAGAGTAGAGTTGTAACGTGTCACAGAGTGTTCTCTCTTTTCTTTGTGAGATGACAGGGTCAAAGTAATGAAAGGAAGCATATTGAACAATGGCGTATTTTCCTTGGGCCCCTTCTGTGGCTGTTCAGGCTTGTAATTGTAAGCTTGCGCTAAGTCTAAGTCTAGTTAAAGCGAGGGTTCAATGCACCGGTCATTGGATGTGAAAGGCGAGGAGTGTATCCTATTTTGCCGCTAAGATTAAACCAACACACTTGCCAGTTTTCACATTTGCCAAATGCTGCTGTGAGGAACCTAGCCTGCTGTCTAAGAAGTTCTTATTTGAGCACTTGAAACGGTGGAAGTGATTGTGGGCATTAAGAAAATTTGTGAAATTATGAGCAAGCCCTTAGTGAATCTGGCTGTTCTCCGGAAGTGTTTGTTTTCTGCCTGCACGTACCCCCTTTGTTCCATAACGTCTCGTCTTGTCTGTGTATTTTGGCAGTCTGAGTTGAGAGGAGGTCCTTGGATCCTGTTTCTAATGTTAATGTCTGCTGCAGGTCGAGTGCTTGAGGTGTGGCAACATCAGCGAGAGGGAGGAGGCCTTCGGTGACATTCCAATTGTAATCAAGGTGTGTGAACAGTTCATGTTCCCCTCGTCTCACACTGAGCCGGTGTGCTACTCTGATTTCCCCTCTTCTGTGACATCGAGCTGTGGTTTTGAACTGCGTAGTGTGCATTTGCTCCTCGTCCAACATTACGACACAATATTTCTTTTTGATGTAGAAGGGCTCCGCTTCCCGCCTGGATAGATGTAGCGAGCTAGACAGGCCAGAGGTCAGGACTTGGGGTTTTGCTGTTCCTATCCTAATCCCAATGTTTTGCACTGGACATATCTGATAAGGGGCTTGCCACACCACTGTCCTTTGATGTAGAAGGGCTCTGCTTCCCGCCTGGATGGATGTAGCGAGCTAGACAGGCCAGAGGTCAGGACTTCGGGTTTTGCTGTTCCCATGTTTTGCACTGGACATATCCGATAAGGGGCTTGCCACACCACTGTCCAAAGGCTGAAAAATGTGATGGCTGTCAGAATAAATTTGACAGCCGCCCTCTCGACAGCTTGCCCCCATTTAGCCACACAGCACTGTAGAATGGACGCACTTGTCAATACAAGATGAAAAAAGTCGAAGTCGAACGCCCTTAAGGGTACGACAAGCATTAGTCCATCCCGATCTCACGCCCACTCACCAAATTTTGAGGAGAAGTCGATCGGGCTGGGGATTCAACAACTTTGGAAGGAGGTGTCGAGAAGCATTGCCTGACAAATTGCAAATTTTCTTCTGTCTGCAATTTCGACAGGCTGTGTGGCGAGGAGAAACTATCGAAAATCGTGTTTTCGACAGTGATGTGGCGAGCCCCTAAATCTTTCTCCCCCTAGCTTACAGGTCTTCATCTTCCTAGGCCGATGCCAGCGCCTGGTGCTGGACATCTACAGTACTATTGAAATTGCTAACTGTCATAAAGGAACGGCCCGGATTGCGGGGCGACCCGAATTACGGGCGGTGTGGATTGCCAGCGAATCAGGAAAATATATGATTGGACTGTGATCTGGGCAGTTTGCACGAACAGATGGCCTCGAATCAGAATAGTATGTGATTGGCCTGCGATCTGGGCCGTTTGCAGAAATGGATGGCCTCGATAGCAGAATGATTGTAATTTTTCTCACCGGTCTGTGATCTGGGCCGCCAGCAATGACCCCAATCGTCGTGCGAACAGTACCCACATGTACCACTGGTCCAGTACCGCCTTTTGTTGATTCTCTAATGAATGTTTGTTGTTTGGCAGGTTTATGACTGACCTGTTGTTCAGAATTGTTGTTCCTCTCGTCATACACTTCGTAGTGCGAGTGATACTGGTCAAACTCTGCAGTACGCTATATGCGTTCTTGGCAATGTAGCACTCTCTCTTTTCTTTCTCTCGTCTCTCTCTCCTATATTTACCCTCTCTCTCTCTCTCTCTCTCTCTCTCTCTCTTCTCTTGACCTACGACCTACCTACGTGCTGTTGGAAACCTACGGACATGCTACTTGGCGACCTACATACGTGCTTGGTGACCTAGCACTCTCTCCTCTCTCTCTCCTCCCTCTCCTCTCCTCTCTCCTTTCTCTCCTCTTCTCTCTCTCCTCTTGACCTACTTACGAGCTATTGCCGATCTACCTATGTGCTATTGGTGACCTACCTATGAGATACTGGGCGACCCTACATGCTGTCGATGATCTACCTACGTGCTATTGGCGACCTACCTATGTGTTATTGGCGACCTACCTATGTGTTATTGGCGACCTACCTACGTGCTTGGCACCAAGTGTTGGTGACCTCTGTCTCTCCTGTCTATTCTTGCTCTCCCTCCTCCATCTTTCCCCTCTCTCTCCTCTCTTCCCCCCGTCTCTCTCTTCCCTTGACCCACCTATGAGCTACTTGACAACCTACCTACGTGCTATTGGCGACCTACCTGAACTAGTGCTCCCTCTTCTCTCTCTCCTCTCTCTGTCTTCTGTCCTTCATCTCTCTCCTCTCTCTCCTCTTCTCTCTCCCCCTCTTTCTCCCCCCACACTATATCTTCTCTCTGCGTGCTGGTGGCATCTTGCCTAATTGCTATTTTGATCTACCAACGTGCTACTTTGCAACCGACTTACTTGCTATTGGCAACATACTACGTGGCGACCTCGTGCTCGTCTCTCTCTGATATCCTCCCTCGTGCCTCCCCTCCTTCGTACTTCCTACAGCGGCAAAACTTTTGTGTTCGACTGCCGACCGCAAAGTTGGAGGGCCATGATCTCCTGCACGCTCGGCACACATAGAGGTGCCCCCGGCTGATAAACTTCGAGAGAGTGGTATTGATATTGATAGTCGATACACAATTGCAGTTCTCCTTCTTTGGTATAAAGAAAAGGGGGGCAGTATGGGGATGAACTTAGCTTATCCTCATCTACCTGTTTGGTGACACTCTGTAGACTGGGCCCTTTGGAGTCTTACTGCCTGGTTCTATCTCTATGCAGCGGTACCAGCTCCTTGGGACGGCGACTCCCAGCCACCACTTGATTCAAACTGGAAGACAATTCGAGCCTGATCTGATACCGGTGCAATGATCCAAACTTTCACGCACACTCAAAGCTTCACATGTAAGTCGCATCAGACACCAATGATCCAATTTTCACGCAGCTTTTCACACTCAATTCAAAGCTTACACGTACACTCAAAGCTTCACATCTAAGTCGCATCAGACATGAGTCGTACACGCTTCAAGATTGCTTGTGACTTGCATACATCAAGTTGTATGCAAGTGTCCAGGCGACTATGGCCGCCCGAAAGCAACAGGTACGGTCTCAATCTAACCTTGAACACACACATACAGGCCTCTCTCTCTCTCTCTCTCTCTCTCTCTCTCTCTCTCTCTCTCCCCCTCCTTCTCCCTCTCTCTCCCCCTCCCTCTCTCTCTCTCTCTCTCCCCCCCCCCCCCCCCCCCCCCCCCCCCCCCCCCCCCCCCCCCCCCCCCCCCCCCCCCCCCCCCCCCCCCCCCCCCCCCCCCCGCCCTCAAAGCTCCGTGCCAATTCACCTGCAGTCTAAACTTACGACCAGACACCTATCCTACAACAGGTGAACTCTGAAGATCATCAGCTGTTGACGGCAAAAAGACTCCTAGTGTGCGGCTCACTTCGCTGTGAGGTGATTGCCTTGCCACACAAGCTCTCCCCGCTTACATCCCTCTTCCACAGCCCCTCGCCCTAGGACCTCCGCTTCTGCCCTCTGGCTTGGCGCCAGTGCAGCCTGGCTATGGCTGCCTAGTGCTGCCTTGCTGTGCCCTTGCAGCTCTGTATATCGTGCACCCCGCCAGTGCCCTTCCTCTGGCCGGACATTCATCTGCACAAGCAGGCGCTCCAGCAGTGCAGCTGCTTCCAGCTACCTGGAATGTGGGGAATGAGCTCACACTCTTCCTTTTGTTCTGGAGAGCTGGACGATGCAGGGCTGGGTTGGGCGGCCTGTGTCCTATTAGCCGCAGCCACGACCCTTCCCGAATGTGCCTGGGGCGCAACTCAAAGTGCCCTGGGCCTCAGCATCTTCAACCAGCCGAGCTACCGGTTGGTTAAAGGTGTTGCATGCAGCAACCAACTCACGGGCCTTTCGTGCTCACATTGACCTGTTCTCGGGCCAAAATAAAATTTTGCAGGCCCGTGTTCACTTAGGGCAATGTACGGGGTACATTGTACAACCAAATTTTGGGTATGTTCTATATGAATACGATGTATGGGAGCCAAAGGATCTGTGAAAAAAACAAACAAAAAAATCGATTATTATTGTTTGGTTCAGGGCAGCCGGCGTTCGGGTCCGGCTGAACTGCCGAACCGGAACTGCTGAACAGGCGGCCCCCCTTGGAGACGTGTTCGGCCAAACGCGAATGCCTGCCCCCCCAAAAAAAAACCCTCAAAAAAATCCAGAGAACTATATTATGCAAAAGAATAAACTGAACAATAAGTGCCTCGGGGGACATCAAATTCTTTTAATTTCTTTACCCTTTTTTTTTTTTTTTTTTTTTTTTTTTTTGGGCCCTGTTTGGTAAAAGCTCCCGGGCTTCTTTGGTTTCTTTTTTTTTTTTTTTTTTAGACTTTGGATCAGCACGTACTTAATTGATTATTGATTGACTCTCTCCCCCTCCTTCTCTTTCCCCTTTTTCTTATACACATCTAGATGTGTATAAGAGACAGCCTTTGTTCCATAACGTCTCGTCTTCTGTCTGTGTATTTTGGCATGTGAAACGGTGGAAGTGATAGTCGGCATTAAGAAAATTTGTGAAATTATG